GGATGGAGCAGCAGGCTAGTTACAAGTGTTGACGCTTCCATCCTCACCCAATCTCTTCCAGGTTCGGAGTCTTCAGCCATCTTTATTGGCCGGGCCAGGATGACATAACTCCTGACTGTTGACTGAGCTGCACATGCGTGGCCTAAACTGGTAATGAACTGTGTGAACTTCTTTTGGTTCTCGATGAACCGGTAGAAATTTGCTCAGTGCAGTGGTTCTCAACCTTTCTAGGGCTGGGACCCCTTGGTGACATTTGCCAGGTTGTGGTGAACCCCAATGGTAAAATTTAAGAATGCACCAATACTAGTATCTGTGTGGACTCTCAGGTGGCCAGTGTGGGCTGATGTGAGCTCAATGGGGCTCTCTCACTGTCAATAGGGCTCTCTTGCGGTCAATGGGGCTCTCTGGTGGCCAGTGTGGGCTCTGTGATGGCCAGTGGGGATCTTTGGTGGTCAAGCCGGGATTCAACTCCCCTCACTCCCGCCCGCTCCCCTCTCTTTGATCCTCCTTGGCTGCCGGTGCTGCAGCGCCATCTAGCTGCGCGGCCGGAGAAGTGACACTGCTGCTCAAGGAGGTGTGTGAGGAGCCTCTCACCTAGCACAGCACGAAGCATGTGCTGACCCCCTCAACAGTGGGTTGTGACCCACTTTTGGGCCGCGACCCACAGGTTGAGAACCACTGGCTTAGTGGGTGGCCCTGCCAGCACCCTTCCAGTTGGCACCCTTTGATCAGAAAAGAGAAGGAGCAATTTGGGGCAAACAGTGCCAATCTGCTGCCATCACTGTTCGGGTATTCCGACTGCGGCACACCCACCACTGTTAAAAAAAAACATCCCAGCATGAGATTCATCCATCGTTGCTGTTTAATGTGGATGGAGGAATCTGTTATATTGTTTTCTTTCAGCCTGCCGTTTGAACGCATAAAGTCTAACAGTGTATGGCCAGCTTTGGAGCACACTGACATGCAGGGAGAAGCATTTATGACACGAGAGACACATAGGGTCTGTCATAAAGAACCAACCTGTCCAAGGATTTTTTTTTTTTTTAAAGACTTTAGTGATCCATTTTGGGTGGCCTGGCCCTTTAATATCTTGTCCCGTCATACATGCACAGGCTCTTGGAGGATGTAAACACTTCCTTGTTATCTTGCGGGAACTACTGTATACACACATGGACTTCTTTGTCTATGTCAGAAGAACATTCTTTTGTCAGCTGCAGATAACTCTAGACAGCTGCGAGCAGATAATGTGACCAGGAAAAAAAAAAAACTTCTACCTTTCTGACTTACCAGAAAGAATCCTTTATCTGGTTGTAGAAACATAACAGAGCAAAACACAGAAAATGGAGCACCCCTTTAAGCCCCGTTTCACAGAGCAACCACCTGTCCTGTGCGACGCGACCACGACAAAAGTCGTGTTTGCATTATTATATTTATTTTTTTCGGTCACTTAGTGCTTTTCCTCTAACCACGCTTCTTTAATGAGTGACTTCCAGCATAATAAATCAATTGCACGCTGCAAGAACATTCTGATTGGTGTATTGTTTTACCTTTCCTTGTACGGACTGGGGGCCAACCTAACCTGCTTCGATGCAGTTGCTAGCCTGCGCACAACAGATGCCCTGCGAGAGCCAATCAGTCCCAAAATATCCCACAGCCAATGATTAGGTTGCAATGTGCAGAGAGCAGGGAGAGCCGGTTAGGGTTACACACAGTGCTCGGGGATTCTGGCTGCCAGTTACACGCTCGGGGTCCTTGTTACGTTTTAACAGGGTTCTCTCGATCCTGCGGAGCGAAAATGGTCATCAAGGTCTTTGTCGCCACCGTGGCGGGATCCACTGCGGTAAGTCTGAGTTAGACTTTTATATTTCCATGGATCTTTTATTTGCTTAAAGCTTACTTAAAAGAAAAAAACAGCCATACAAACAAAAACAAAAAAAAACTGCAGCAAATTCCTGTACGTAAACCCCAACAAGATCAAAAACATCTAAAAAATGTTTACAGGGACTCTTTACTGCTGAGATAGAGGACTGGAGCTCGCTGCTCTTGGCTTCTAGTTGTTTCTACTTATAATGTATCTTCCATACGACCTATTTATAAAATGAGCGTTTGCCCCTTTTATA